TATATATATATATACACACACACACATATATAGACATATATATAGACATTTACACACATATGTATATATGTATTTTTTCCATTCCATAGAGACCTAGTGAATAAATCCCTTGAGTCAAGCTAACTGATTTTTGGATATTGAAGATCTAAGCAGAAGATAATGATACATCCCTAAAGTATTGCTTATAAACAAAAAGTAAGAAAAAACACTAAAATGCTTCAGTTGTAATCATTTAACTATCAAAATTGCAAAAATACTTGTAGACTTCTCCATTAGTATTATTTACTCTAGTTATTTGTGATAGACTATTATTAGCTATTCTGACAAGCTATATATCTTTGAAGAGGTTTTTTTGTTTGATTTGTTTTTTTTGTTTCTGGTGCTAGAGATGGAATTCACAACCTTCTGCATTCTAGGCAAGTGCTCTACCACTGAGCTACATTCCTAGCCCTGAAAAATTACTGAATTTATCAGATAATAAAGAAAGACTACTCATAACCTCACTCAATCAAATTAACCATTTACTATTTCAAACATGAAAATTAAACTGTGATTCTAAATTAATTACATATCGGGCTTTATACCATTCATCTATTTTTTAGGAAAAATGGTTCTTTGGAAAATATCATTTGAGCCTGTCATATGCACCCCTGGTTTGGTCATTGAGTGATTTTTCCATCCTTAAAAGTGACATTTTCCAGTAACCCAAACAATCCTCAGTTTAGTATTAATGGGCTGCTATGCAGTAAGCTCCATGAGGCCAGAAGAGTTGTAACCTAGCACTAAGTAACAGTGTCTAGTATTGAATAGAAGAACTAGTATTTGCTGAATGAACAGTGAAATGATGATAAAATCCAATTAGAAAATATGTTTGAACTTAGATGTACTTCTAAAGTTCTATTTGCTTTTGTTTCAGAAGATCACATGGCTTGCTGCAGCTCCCTGCCTAATGTTGTATGTCATATCACATCATGAATGATAAATTCTTCTCTTTAGCCAAGCCAAGAGATGTATAGCTTCTGGCCAGAATTCTGACTTGGCAAACACATGTGCTAAACATGGCCCATGCCAATGATCTCAATTCATTTTCATTTGGCATGACTTATTGCTGCTTTATACAAAGTACATGGCTATAAATGTACCTCCTGTTTTATTTACATAATTTCAGATAATAATAGAATAAAACCATTTAATTAAACATACTTTCCAGTAATATATTGGGATGGAAGACTTTAAGCCAGATGACATGGGTGAGGCCACATTCCACTGTGCACGAGTGATCTGTGTCAACTTGAGCAAAGAACAAAACTTTTGTTCTTTATTAATAACTCAGAATACCATTGTGAGAAAAGAAAGCCTAAAGTACTCTACATATATATGGTTTTTCTCTCTTCAAATAACAAGAGTGAGTAGTTGAACTTTCAAAGTTTTCTTGGCAAGTGTCTACATGACAGTGAGATTGTTAACAACAAAAATTTAATAGGAACAAACACTTGGCACATATTTTCTTTATTACTAAATCTAGTCACATCAGGATAATGCTTGATCACATGTTCACTTCAAAGCAGTTGGTTGTGCCAGAGTGAAGAAATTTTTCATGAAATGTTTAGAGATTAATGAAGTTAAGTTCAGGGACCTACTTAGTATGTCATGCTTGGGTGTGTGGATCTTCTCTGAGATACACTCTGATGCACTCATGTTAGTCCTCTTATGATTGATCTCAATCTTTGTGCTCAAACAATCTTGTGGCAATTTGCACTGGTTGTTAAGAAAGCCAAAAGACTGGCTATTCAGATTAGCTATTCTTTGGATGATGTGATTTTGAGGTCATTCAGATAGTCTTTACTTGTTGACATTTGTCCCTGGACATTGAGCTAGGTAATGATGAATGAATTTTCTCAGCAGCGAAAACTTGTGGAAATCTCAAGGCACCAACCTCTATGTTCCTGCTATTAAGGTAAGGATTCTCAAACTATGGATGCATTTTTCAGGGGGTACCAAAGAGGTATTTGAAGTTATAAGAGTATCCATTTTACTAGTTGGTAAGTAATATAAACATTTAAAAATTGACAACAGATATATCATAGAGTAAAATGCAGTATTGATACAAATTTTTAATGTAAAACAAAACTTTAAAAGAACTGTGTGCTTGGTAGGTATTGTTTCCCAATCTTTCTAGGCATGCACGCTTATCCTCAGAGTTATGTGCAGTTCATTGGAAAGGTTTGGAAAGCACTGCAGAAGTGCATGCTGGGAGACCCTGGTCCCCAAACTACCTCCCCATGAAATACCAGAGCCAAAGATTTTTTAAAGAAAACTTCCCCTTCCTTCCTTCCTTGCTTCCTTTCTTCCTTCTTTCCCCCTCCCTCCCTCCCTTTCTTTCTTCCCTAGCTGAAGGTTTTGGCCCACAGGAACTAAGAAGAATTGGATTATCTTTCCATAGAATATCTGAAAATTCTTTAAAACCTCAAAACAAAAAAACCAAAACCTTAGATAGAAGGGGGAATAATTTTAGGGAGAATGCTTCCAGAGAGGAATGTGAAGGGGTCCTTGACTGGACAAGGTTGTTGATATTCTGGAGCACAATTTTCAGTAGAGGGCCTAACAGACACATGAAAGGTGGGTATGAGTCAGTTGTGAGGGCAATAAGTCTGCTTATGCAGCCAAATGAATTTTAAAAATTGAGATTCAGCTATAAGAAACAGAAAATAACTGCTTCATGAGGCTATGTAAAGAAATGATTTTCATAAATTATTTGCTATTCATCTAACAGCCAACATACCTGCTTGTCTTTGAAAAACTGTACGTAGAAAATACAAAACACTCAAGATTTACAGAACTGATCAACATTTAGTTTTAGACACTAAAATAAGTACAAGTAATGTAAATATTAATGATTAATGACCATAAACTCTTAAAGGTTATGTTTTGAAACAAACACAACAACCATTAAATACTTAGCCCAGTGAAAAAAAAAAGAAATGTTTTAAATTATTTTTAGCAGCAAGGCTGCTTGGAGTTCAACTAAGATCAAAGCTCATTTGCTTATCTTGAGATTTAATGACCAGATTCTGTTAATAAAGGAATGTTAAAGCCTTAAGTTAGATTCATTTTAAATATTAGAACTAGTTTTCCTATTTTTTAAAAAATAGAATAAAAATTAGAATAGTTTTCTTTTACACAAGAAGCTGTGCTTTTAATATGGCCCTGCATTTTCCTGTTTCCTGAATTGTATGCACAATGGTGTAAAAACACATTACTAGGAGGCCCAGAGGCAACGCCTGGATATTCCTGGGAAATGAGGAATTGCCTTAACTGGAAGTTCTAAAGGGAGCTTAGGAGATAATTTTGTTTTGGTTTTTATTTGGGTGAAATTGAGACCATAAGGAGCTGTAGAGGCTTCTCCAGTATCACACATCTACTAGCTTGCACCTATGCAAGCATAGTCTTGGTTCCTGAGAAGCAAGGTCGATTTGAAGACCCAGGTTCCAGTCCAGACTTCATTGATAGGGCAATTCCAGCTAGTGCTGCCTTAGCTCCTCTGCATTTCAGTGTTCTCAGTAGAAAATGCTGGAAAAAGCTTTCAATAAGCATAGTCCTGATCATTTGCAGGGAAGGATGGGCGTAGAAACCTAAGAGGGTGCTTTTATTTGCTGCAATTATTGAGGGTGCTATAGCCATTGATGGCATGGGCAAAATTCACCTGCAAAAGGAGCAACTTCTTTCAGCAAATGACAGTATCTTCCCATCCTCCTATCCTATATGGAGAAATACTGAGTGACCTGTTACCAGGCCTGGGCTGTTTTCATGGTCATTAATGTCAGAGCCAATTCTATTGATGAAGGGTGGTAGTAGTCTAATTTAAAAGGCCCTGCTTTCAGTTTAGTTTGTCAAAAGCCACGTTATGGAATTCTTGTTTTGGCATATCTGCATTCTTATTCCTTTAGTTAGAAAAGTTTATGTGGAATATAAGAGGAGAATATTTTTGTATTTAGAGAGCCAAAATACAATTATTTAAAAAAAGAATGAATTTGCAAATATAGAGTATCATTTTAAAAAAAAGCTTTTTAGTATGATATAACCTTTTATATATTTTCAGGTTTTAAAAAATACAATTACTATAATAGGCTGTGGAATGACATACAATTTATTGGCAAAACTTCAAGCTTAAATTCCAAATATTGTGATATCTGGTCATTAAATCTTGCTAATTTCCATGATTTATAAGTAAAATCACAAATGCGACAACTAAGTAGAAGCAAAAAAGAAACATGTACCCTATGAGTTATATCACAAATGAATAAAAATACTGTATTCCTTTAAACAAATGTTTTTATAAGAGCTTTATAACCCAGAGCAAAATATGTGAGATGTTTTAAGAAGAAGTTGCAATTTTGCAACAAGAAGTCTGTACAGCTCCTCCAGGCAGTAGCTGTGAAGGATATACCTGTGTCTCAGAAACTTGTTTCCACACGTTCTTGACACTTTTCCATCCAGGTCCCATTATTTACAGTTATGCATTTTGCAAGCTCAAAAGCACCTTACTCCTCATAATTATAAATGCATGCAATGACATTTCATCCTTTCATGTGCAAATTCTAAAATTCATTGCAATAGAAACGCTAAAACTTGAAGATCTGCCTACAACTTGAAATGAAAGGATCAAAAATGTCAGACATTGCAGAGCACTGGTTCCTAATAGAGCTCTCTTTATTGGTTCACTGTTCTTCAGTTGTTTTTGTTTGTTACAAAATGCAGTCTTGACTGTTTATTTAAACAGTACTTAAACTAAACTGTTCATGCCATGCAAAAATAACATTTTATGCATTTTTTTGTGGGGGGAGGGGCTTCCCATGTTTTAGTTCACAGGCATTATTGATCACATTTTAAGAAACAAGTTTTATTATTATTATTATTGCTTTTGTAACTAGTCACATGCTGGTTTCACGTGTAGGACAATAACCTGTGTCTCCTGGGTTGGAATGAATTTCTGGAGCAAACAAGTGGTTTTCCATCTGGCACCCTTCTTGACTACTGTCCTTTTTGACTTCACCCACAGCATGGTAAATGTCTTGTCTACAATTGTGACCTGTATTCTGGGGGGAGGAAGAGCCCACACAGCCCTCTTCTCTTAAAGGGTCTCTCACTTCACTGGGTTTATCTGCAAAGCAGTTAGGGCTGGAGTCCGCCTGCTTGTCTGGCCTTGCCCCTTGGAGCTCCAAGAAGTCTTCATCTTCACCAGTATCTATTTCAGTGAAGCTCCTCCTCTCTCTTGAAGAGAAAGTGAACAGTTTCTGCTTGGGAAACCGAGGGGACAGCCCTTTGGAAGGTCCCTGGCAGTGTGCTGAAACTTCAGTGCCCAGCAAGGGTCTATCTCCATGGGGGAAAGTTTCTTCCAGGAGGATGGTACTGATGTGCTGCGGAGTGGTGAGAGAAAAGTCAGCCGTTGTTACTGGCAGTGGCCTGGCTGTGCTGGGTGGGGTCTGGGGTGCACTGCCTCTGTTTTCCTGAAAGTTTACTTTGAGGGATCTGGACTTTAGTGGGTTGCTCCCTTTCAGCGAGCTCTTAGGGCTGTCAGTGGCACTGTCAGACTGCAAAGGACCATGTAGCCCACATTGGGTACCACTGGCATCAAGGTTCACAGTTATGTCTACTGGGGAATATTCTAGAGTGGCATCCCTGGCATCCCGCCCTTTCTCTCTGCTTAGTGTAAGAAATGGAGGGGCCCTGGCTCTTTGGTGCTCTTCTGTCCCTGGGAAGTCAGTGGGGAACTTCATCTGCAAGTGGGATGCAGAGGGTGGTGGCAGGGGTGATCGCTCTGTCTCTGTGAAGTCTGTGGCACAGCTGGTGAAGCTGTCTATGCTAGAGGTGCTTTTCATGTCCACAATGACCTCTGTCTGTGCCACGGCCAGCTGCTCCTGTGGGCAGACTACTTCTTCCATTTCTATCTCTTCTTCATACACAGATGGCCTCTCAGGCTGTTCTTGGCAGTCCAGTTTCAGGTGAGAATGAGGCTGTGTCTTGGTGATTTCATTATACAGCATCTCCAGTTTCTGGGCACTCAGGTGCTGTGGGCTGGAGGAAGAAGTGTTGTTCAGCTGCTCGTGGGAGTCTTTTTGGCTAACCTCCTGGTACTTATTTTCGTAAGACTTGTTGGAGCTTGTTTCCGACAGAGCCTTCCTGGCCCACTTCCACCGGCTTGGTGACAGGTGATTATCATCATTCGAGTCCTTTGTATTGGCTGACTCTCCAGCCTTCTCGACAGCCACGTCGATCAGTTCCATACTTCGAGCAAAAGCATCTTTTAAGTTCATAGAAACAATGCTTCCATTCCTTTTGGCCCGCTCAAGAGCCTCTCTCCTTTTAATTGCCTTCTCCTGGCGTTTCTGCTCCTTGTAAAACTCAGAAAAATTGTTCACAATTATTGGGATAGGAAGGGCAATTACCAGAACCCCAGCAATACAGCAGAGGCCTCCTACAATTTTCCCTAACAATGTTTTAGGGTAAATGTCACCGTAGCCCACAGTGGTCATGGTGATGGTGGCCCACCAAAATGATGCAGGGATACTGGTAAACTTGGTAGCATCTTCATCCTTCTCAGCAAAAAATACCAAGCTGGAAAATATCATTATCCCCATGGCCAGAAACAATATCAATAGGCCCAATTCATTGTAACTCCGCCTGAGGGTGAACCCCAAAGACTGCAGGCCTGTCGAATGTCTTGCGAGTTTCAGGATCCTGAGGATGCGCATGATCCGGAAAATCTGGACCACACGTCTCACATTTTGAAACTGCAGAACACTCTTGTTGGACTCTGTGAGGAAAATGGTGACATAGTATGGTAAGATGGCCAGCAAGTCAATGACATTTAGTGGCCCTTTAAAGAACTTCCATTTATTTGGTGAGGATAGGAACCGTAGAAGGTACTCCATGGTAAACCAAGCAATACACACAGCTTCCACATGTGCTAGTTGGGGGTTGTCATTGGGCTGTCCAAATTCATCCATTTCCTGCAGCTCTGGGAGGGTGTTGAGAGACAAAGCAATGGTGGAAAGTACGATGAACAGAATAGACACGATGGCCAAGATCTGGAAAAGAGAAGAAAGCCAAGTTAGCAAATCCTTTTAGTTGCATAGGCAGCTGGGTGACATATGGATCACTGACTCTTTAAATGATATGGAATGCTCCAAGTTATTTTAAGAAAGTTTTAAAGAAGGTAACTTTACAACCTAAAATTCTCTAATGAATACAAATACATTCACTCTTACGAGTTCATTTCACTTAAAAGCCTGGCATATATTTAAATTCTAGGAACTAAGCAATTTGAAAAAAAAATTGATTTGCCCCTCCTCAGCCATTGTTCTTAGATACATTTGTGTGGGTTTTCACCATTTGGATGAGGTCTCCATATGGCTGCAATAGCTTTTTGGGGAGTAATCATCTCTTCTTTCAGAGCTATCTGTAATTTTTCTCTCTTAACCACCCAGCTTGTGTTTCCTTAAGGGAATTGTCTTACATGTTGTGTAAGCTAGACAGAATTCATGATTGCTGGAAGTTTTATTGTCCCATTAAGAACACAAATGTGGAAAGAGAATATGGCACTCAATACAACGTTTCTCCTCAGACAAGTGCTTATTTGTGTGGTGAGTACTGAGATTGGAACCAAGTCAGCATAACATTTGTCCTGGGATGTGTGGACGCTTGGCCAGCATCATGCAGAATAAGAAGGATATGCACTAACTTTGCTCAGGCAAGGTAGGTTTCACAAAGAAGAGCTTGAAGAATGACCATGGTGATCTCAGTGCAGGGCAGACATTCTAGGCAGAAGAAATAGCAGCACAATGTCAGGCTTGGAAGGAAAGGGGCAGACAGAGCTCAGAAAGAAATAAGAGGACAAGTGACTGGGTTTTGGAATGAGGTAGTCTGAGCTCTGACCCTGGCTTTACCACTTGCTGTGTGATCTTGGGCACATTATTTAACTTCTCTGTGTCTCAGTTTACAAATCCGGTGGAAGAAGACAACAATCATAGCTACTTCATGGTTGCTATAGAAATTGCACAGTGCAGGGCCGGCAATTTAGCTCAGTGGTACCATCCTCTACCTCGTAAGTGCAAGGTCCTGAGTTTAATCCTTGGTACAAAAAAAAAATTACACAGTGCACAGACATTGCTAAATAAGTGAAAGATGCCTACTTGGTTAGAGGCTGAAATGGTCTAGGACTTAGGAAGACAAAGAGAAAGAACAGATATGTGGGAAATCTGTAAAAGCTTGCAAGATATAGAGAGTGGAAGAAGGGACTTCCTCACTGTTACCCAGTTCTAAATTTATGGGACAGAATGGGAAGATTATGGCTTGAGAGCAAAACAAAGTACATTTTTGCTTAGTAAAGACTGTGCTGATTTGGAATGCACAATTCTTTGTGGAGTAAGAAACCTCTCTTACCTAGGTTAGATCTGGCTTGGTTTCATCTGACTTCCCTGTGACCTTGCTAGGTGTCATTGGTCTCAGTTATTATATGTAGCTCCGAAAAAATATTCTGACAATGACTGTTTTATTTAGAGATTCAGTGTCTAGTAGACACTTTAAAGGGTAATGATTAAGTGTCCTGAGGCTATAGCATAGTAAACATTGGACTGTGAAAAAAATTATTTTACATCATCAGGACTTCTGATTTCTTTCCCTTAAGACAGTTAGGGACCACCATGGTGGAATAGTGATGGGACAAAGGGCTCAGATGACAAAATAAACTCCTTGGTGTAGCAAATTATTACTCTTTACAGCAATGCATATTTCAACAGACCCATCATGAAACTCTGATGAAACCCCTGAAGTAGGATATTTATATGAAATAAATTGATGACAAGAAAGAAAAAAGCCTAGACTTCTGGGAAGATGGCAGCGTAATGAACAGTAGAGAAATAGCCTCTGAGATTTGGTGTGCAGACACTGGAATATAACAATGTGAAGAAGAGAAGAAGGAGGGAAGTGGGTCTCTGGACCCAGCAAGCATGTGAAGTGAGAATTGAAGCCCATGAGGAGAGTGAAGAGAGAGAGAGTTCAATGAAGAATAAGGGGGGGGGCAAGCAGTGCTTTCTCCTTGAGCCCTGACTCACTGTGTAGGAGGGGTGGCTCGAACCTGAAGACATATAGTGACTACTGGCAATCCCAGAGGCCTCTACTGAGAAATGCACCAGTGGAACACAGCAGTTGATGCATCAGACTACAGTGACTGGTGAGTTATTCAGGCTCAGTTGTCCTCCAGGGGAATGCAATTGGCTGGTAGCCATCTTGTAAAGGGGCCAACTGAGCTCAGAATTTAGACCAGCTGTGGGTTGGCTCCATCAGGGTAAGGCAGAACTGAGTTCAGGTCTGCATGAGGTGAAGGAGCCAAGTTCAAGTCAGCAGGAGGCACATGAAGTGTTGCTGGCTGAACAAATTGGGTTCCATCCTCACAGCCAGAAACCAGCCTGAGCTTCAGAACTAAAGATACAGGCTTGCTGGGATTATCCACTACCCCACTGTAAATCTACAGCTGGTTTGCTGGGATTAATGAATATGGATCTGGACTCTGTCTGCCCACTTTGTCTACCAGTGACAGCAGAGACACACCTTGAATCAATAATGTTTTTCCTTATATTCTTTTTTCCCTTTTCTATATTTTTGTTTTGTTTCTTGTATGTTTTTGTTTTTATATGAATGTGAACATGTTTTATTATTGTTCTTCTGTTCTTGATTTATTTCTTCCTTCTCTCTTTCTCTTCTATCTTCTTCAACAGTTTCCCAAACTTTGTGTAATCTTCCTTTGTCCTCTAGCCTTGCCTCTAATCTCTTCCTCTTCTATCTCTTTATTTTTTCCCCTTTTAACCCCTTTTAAATTTTTGTCCCTGAGGGTAAAACTTCCATATTGAGGGAATATTTACTGTATACACTTTTCTGGTTTTAGATTTTGTTGTATAACCAAAAATCTAGTTCACATGGATAAAAGTGGCAAATTAATAGTTACCACAGCCTGTAATTTTCTAGGGTGTGTTTGATGCTATTATTATTGCTGCTTGTACTACCTTAGCCAAGGTGACATAATTGTTCTAATCAGTTGATCTTCCTGGTACACCAAGACTGAGATTGCCTAAGGGTCATAAACAATACAATAGGCCAGTGCCAAAGAACCAGGGGCTAGGCCAAATAGGCAGCAACTTCTAATCCACAATAAATTGAAAAAGTAGGATCTTGCAATAGACTCAAAACTCAAAAGCCAGCTAAACCTGGAAGACATCTCTGAGAAGTAGTCATTTCCTAAGGGTTCTAAATACTAGCAATAAAACTATTTGCCATAAAAAAATTTACAAGCATCAACCCAGGAAATAAACTAAAAAAAAAAAGAAAGAAAATGAGAAGACACTTAGGCAAGATGCAACCCAAAACTTTCAGCTCACCAAAAGCAAATTCAGGGGGCAATGAGGTGGAACAATTCAAAAGCAACCCACCTAGACTCTCTGAAGTGGTAGCAACAGAAGTAACAAAGCAAATGAATGAAGCTCTAGAAAAAATCAAATCAAAAATAGTTTCTCAGATAACTATAGAAATGGTGACCATAATGAAAGACATAATGACTCTAGAGCAGATTCAGATAAAAAACAAACAAACAAACCAACCAAAAAACAGGAGCTTAGGAAAGTGATGGAAACCATGAATGCCCAACATAGGAAAGAAATGGAATCCACGATTGAAAATTTCACTGAAAGTATACGCAGCAGAATGAGCCAATGTGAGGACAGAATATCAGATATAGAACACAGGATTGTGGTTAGTGAACATGAAAAGTGAGATTTCTTAAAAATTGCAAGGGACCATGAAAAATAAATCCAACAGCTGCTAGATGATTCAAAGAAGAATAACATAAGATTGGGCCAGAGATTTAGCTCAGTGGCACTGTGCCTGCCTCGCAAGTGCAAGGTCCTAAGCTTGATCCCCAGTGACAGGAAAAAACAAAAAAGAAGAATAACATAAGATTGATCAGAGTCAATGAAAAAAGCAGGAGATACAGCAAACTACATAAAAAACCTGTTCACAGAAGTAATGGCAGAAAATTTCCCAAGCAGGGAAAGAGAATTTGAAATACAGATAAGTGAGGCATATAGAACTCCAATTAGCCACAGTAAAAAAATCTACAACAAGGCATGTAATAGTCAAGATTCCAGAAATTAAACACAAAAACAGAATATAAAAAGGTGTTAGAGAAAGGAAACAAATCACCTATAAAGGAAGAATCACAGCAGACTTTGGAACACAAACCCTCAAGTCAAGGAGAGCTTGGAGTAAAGTATTTCAAGCCCTAAAAGCAAACAACCTACAATCCAGATTGATGTACCCCACAAAACTATCTTTCGAGATTGAGGGAGAAATAACATGCTTCCATGACAAAGAACACCTGAAGAAATTCATGACCACCAAACTAGCACTCCAAAATGTTCTAAAGAACATTCTAGAAAGAGATAATAAGGACTAAACTCCATAAATCCCAAAGAATGAACCCCCCAGGCAAGGAAAGCAACAGAGGGAAAAAGCAACCAACAACAGGAAAATAATGTGACAAAGATAAGTCAATACATATCAGTTATAACCATCAATGTAAATGGTCTCAATTCACCAATCAAAAGAAATAGATTGGCAGAATGGATCAAGAAGTAAGAGCCAACAATATGCTGCATATAAGAAACACATTTAATTCAAAAAGAAATTCATAGATTGAAAGTCAAAGAATGGAAAACAATACTCCATGTGACAGGAACCTGGAAAAAAGCAGGGGTAGCTATTCTATTTGCAGACAAAGTGGATTTCAAGGCAAGACAGATTAAGAGAGACAAAGAAGATCACTACATTTTTGTAAAGGGAAAAATCCAAGAGGAAGTGATAACAAGCACAAATTTAAATGCACCAAATACCAGCACAGCCAACTACATAAAACAAATATTAATGGACAGGAAAAATTAAATAAGCACTTATATAATTGTAGTGGGGGAAACTCAATACCCCACTGTCACAAATAGACAGATTAATTCAGTAAAAAATGAACAAAGAAATATCATAA